AATTAATTAATTAATTAAAAAAACAGAGATAAGAAATAAAAATAAAAAGTGAACGGATAGCCATTGTTCGAATCTCAGACTGGCTGTTCTTGAACTCTAAAGTTTTCAAGGCTCTTTTCACCCCATTTGGCTCGATCGAGCACCTGATTTCACCACGATGCCACCCACTTCGTTCGACACAAACAATGAAAGCGAGAAAACCCAGCCTGTCCTTTCGTGTATATAGTTAATGTATGGTGGTGAAAGTTCTTCTTTTAATGTGTTTGAACTGGTTTTTCTTGTTTCTGTGAAATATTTTTTCTAGTGTGAATGATTATGTGATTGGTGTAAAGAGCTCGAAGAGCGTATACTAGTATTAGTATGGCATAGAGCGCTATATAAATGCAGTCTATCATTATTATTATTAACAGCAAGTGAAGAAAGACTTCTCAGTGTAGTTCATTTATTATAAACTGTAGATGATGATTTCATCTGTGAACACAGATTAACAGGAGACAATTTTAGAGAAGAAAATTTTTTTGGTCGCTACCCGGATTCGAACCCGGGACCTTTGAATGAGAGGCCAACACTTTAACTTCTAGGCCACGAGAGCCCCCATATATATATATTTATTTTATATTTATTTATTTTTTTATACTGCTTTTTTTTACTGTCATTTCGTGTATATAGTTAATGTATGGTTGTGAAAGTTCTTCTTTTAATTTGTTTGAACTGGTTTTTCTTGTTTCTGTGAAGTATGTTTTCTAGTGCGAATGATTATGTGATTGGTGTAAAGAGCTCGAAGAGCGTATTCTAGTATGGCATAGAGCGCTATATAAATGCAGTCTATCATTATTATTATTAACAGCAAGTGAAGAAAGACTTCTCAGTGTAGTCCATTTATTATAAACTGTAGATGATGATTTCACCTGTGAACACAGATTAGGCTCTCGGACTCGCAACCGTAAGGTCGTGGGTTCGAATCCCGTCAGGGGCCCGACGTTGTGTTCTTGGGAAAGGCACTTTACATGAATTTTCCTCACTTAACCCAGGTGGAAATGAGTACCCGGCTATAGACAGTGAACGATCTTGTCAGTTTGATAGTGTTTGAGCGCGTGAAATCCGCAGCTTGCACTGTATGCTTCCGCGGAAGCCGAAATTGTTTCAGAGTGTTCTCAGAGGGTCTGCTGGGGTAATAATAGTTGTAAAGCGCATAGAGCACGCTCTTGAGCATGGATATACGCTATATAAATGCAATTA